CTTTCTGACTTGAATCCCTGAGTCTCACTGCGCATAATATGCTATCTGGATCCAATCCAAAAGGCCCTGAGCGACGCTGGGGACGCCACTTAATACTTCATTCTCAGGTTTCTTTATGTATCGTTGTACAATGGTATATCACGCTCATGCTACGGCGTTCCCTGCGCTCTCCCAGTGGCTGCGGTGACAAATGAGCAAGCTAGGAACCTGAAACTAGACCATCTATGCATCAGATATAACATTCATGTAGCCTGCTCGAATGTTAGAACATTGCTAGACACAGTAAGCCAATGTTTCACGATGCGATCACTGCCCGACTTCAAGGTAGACATCTGTTGTCTGTCCAAAGTCCGACTACCTAACCGTGACACAAAACTAATGAACGTACCACATAGCAACTCAACCTACCGGTTATACCACAGCAGCCCAAAGGAAAACTCCGGCTTGCACGGGGTAGCAATCGCCGTGAGCGGCCGGGCCAACAATGCCATGATTTCCTAGGATTGCCGTAGCGCGCTCCAGAGGAAAACCGTTTAACCTGAGTGTTATCGCTGTATATGCTGCAACGTTACACGAGGAAGAGCCCATCAAGGACGACTTCTAAAACCAAGTTCAAGACGCAGTGAACCGCAGTCCCTGACGCGAAATCCTCGCTAACATAGGAGACTGGAACGCACGCACTGGTCCGTCAAACGAACATACTCGGCATGTTCTTGGAAAGTTCGGCCTTGGTCAACGTTGCGAAAATGGCGAACGCCTAGTACCGTTTGCTGACCTGGACCGACTGGCCGTGACCAACATCCGTTTCCAGCACCCCAGAAAATACCTGCTCACGTGGTACTGAAGTGATAGTCGAGCGGCACACTAGATTGATTATATTTTGGTAAGTGCTCGGTGGGCCTCTTAAGTGGAAGATCGCCGTTTTTATCGCGGCGCAGAAACTGGAAACAAGAACGGTACAGACCATACCCTGGTACACGCCCGCTTCAAGATCCACCTGAGTGTTCGCTGGAAGACTCGTCTCTTAAGCAAATTCAACGTCGTGCTCTTGGAACGACCTGAGAGAAGGCAGGCGATGCTGG